AACTGATTCTCCATAGATGATAGTGGAAGACAAGTTTTGCATATCAGTGAATAGCACAGCGGAGTAAGCATGAAGAGAGTTTCTATGTTATGTTTAACAGAAAAGAAAACATCAGTATTAATATAGAGTTGACGTCGAAGTATTTCTAATTCACTTTGAAAATGTTCGTTCACAACATTCTGTATACTTCAAAGTTCATTAATCGTTTCAAAATATGAGGAACATTAATATTTTCTTTTCTCTTTGTGACATCATTTTTATTATTAATATTATTATTTTTATTATATATATAGAACAATATTTGATTACACATACAATCATTGTGGTATATGAAGTTGAAATCGAATTTCTTTTCAAATTAGATTATTTATTATTTAGAATTTGGCATAATGAGCATGACTACTCTGCCAAATTATCCACTACCACAATTGAAGAAAACAATTGATGAGGCAAGTGTAGTTTTGAAATTATGCATAGACTCCAACAGTTTCGATGAGTTCACCAAAGAATTGAAAGAAAACTTCGAATATTTATGTAAAGACCATGCTGGCTTCCTTGATCAATTCAAAGATAAAGAAAATTGGGCAACAGAAATGTTTTTGGATCAACTTCTTTCGTTGCGGGAGCCAATATCAACTTCAACTTCGGTACCATTTTTATTGAAAGTCAGTGAAAATCATCAAGATCAAATATATTACGCTTCCTGTCTGTTATGGAGCATTGCAAAGCTAAAATCAGACAAATCACTCATCAAGGATTGTGTTGAAACAACAAAGTTCAAGGGTTTAATTTTGGAAGAAACGCAACAGTCGAATATATTCTCATCTTGTCGCATTCCTGGTGACACGAAAGACACAATTTATGTTAACAGAGAAAGCCGACATGTCGTGGTTCTATGGAAAGGATCCGCATTTATTGTCAATATTATTTCTGAAAATGATGAAGCTTTCAATGTTTCAGAAATATATGCTCAAATGAAGGTCATACAAAGTTATAAAGGCGAACAGCAATCGTCAATCTGTAAATTTACTTCACTTAGACGCGATAAGTGGAGTAAAATTCGTGAAAATATTGCACTGAATAATAAAGCTTCCTTGGATTTGATGGAAAATTCGATTGTAACAATTGCCATTGAAGATGAAGATTCTCCAACTGATTATTGTGAAGCAATTAATCACGTGCAATTCGGTGATCAAACAGGCAACATGAGATATCACGATAAAACAATCAATGTTATTGTCTATAAAAATTGTGTGGCTGGTTTACTATTCGAACATACAGTTGTCGATGGATTTTTAATGTACATATTTAGCAAGAAGTTGTATCTGATGGGCGAATACAATCGAATGGAAATAAACCAAGTCAAAGTTCCATTATCGACAGACATCAAACCAATTTCTTTTCAATTTGATGATTCAAACATAGAAAGAGGCTACTCTATGCCTACAATTTCATATTTTGACTTCTATGGTCATCAGGACATGTTGAATTTGTTCAAAGAACAAAAATTGTATGATATTTGGATCAACTTCAGCTTGCAATTAGCAATCAAAAATACATTTGGACATTTAAATTTCTTGTATGTTACACCAACTCATGTTAGACATTTTAAACATGGAAGATCAGATCCGACTTACACCATTACTCAAAAGTCACTAAAGCTCTTTGAAGATTTGAATTGTTTGAAGGATTCAACCGATAACATCATTTATTCATTTGTCGAAGCAGTCAAAGAACATCGACGAAAGATAAAGTCTACAAAATTAGGTCATGCCATTGGGCCACACATTTGTCAAATCAGAAACTCGTTAGCAAACAAAAAAGATGGAAATAAACTAAAACTATTTCTGGAAACATTTAGTTGTCCAGCAGTGTATTTGACAGGTTATGAAACAGTCGAAGAAATTAATTTTACGCTTTCGAATGCATATGCCAGAGATCAACTGACTACAATATATCTTGGAAAAGCTGATAAAGTTCGCATTATTATGAATACTCGAGGCATTTTCAAAGAAAAGCGCAATGATTTGATGAATAATTTTCAAAAGGCTTTGAATATTTTACAAAATATTGTTTGCAAAACTGCAATAGCTCTTCAAATGGATGCATTAGAAGCTCTAAACAGCGTTCAACATCCGAATAATACAATGCAAGAATCTGTCGCCATTGTTCTTCATGCAGGAGCTGGGAACAAAATGTCTCTTCAAAATGAAATCAAACAGCTTGTGGAATTTTCACTACAAGCAGCACTTTCGATTGGAATTCATTCGCTGAAAAATGGTGAAAGTGCTTTGGATGCTGTCGAAAAAGTGGTTACTTCACTCGAGAATTGCTTCTTCTTCAATGCCGGAAAAGGTTCAATTTATAATGAAGAGCAAAAACATGAGTTAGAAGCTGCAATTATCGATGGAACACATCAAATGTCTGGTTCAGTCGCATGTCTCACAACAGTCAAAAATCCAATAAAAGCGGCAAGATTAGTAATGGAAAAATCGTCACATTCTTTTATTATTGGATCCAAAGCTGAAGAATTAGCCAAAGAACATGGTCTTTCAATGGTTGAAGATAATTCATTTTTTGATACTGAATTTCGTCGCAAAGAATTCTATCTCGACAATTCGAATGCAAAAAATCATACACAGACAGTCGGTGCATTGGCTCTTGACATTCATGGAAATCTAGCAGCTGCTTCGTCTACTGGCGGAACAATGAAGAAAACGAAAGGCAGAATTAGTGATACAGCTGTAGTTGGTGCTGGTCTATATTCAGATGAGAATGTAGCCATTGCTTGTTCTGGAAATGGAGAAATATTTATTAGAAATTCGATTGCATCAAAAATTGCTTGTTATTACAATATAAAAAAAATGGACCTTGCAAAGTCATGCAGCGAAGTTCTTGATAAAGAACTAGGATCGAATTTTGGTGGAGTTATAGGACTAACTTCAGATGGTACTATCGTTGTTGATTGTCGTGCAGAAGCAATGTTTATTGGCTCATATGATGGACATCGATCTAATGTTGAAATACTTGAAAATGTCCATTCAGCACATTTCAAAGCACCAAAATCATGGTTAAAACCAGATTTACATGCAGAAATCGCACTCATTGATCCATGGTATCACATGATATTTGATATTCAAAATACTCTCTATCATGCAACTGTACAATTTTTTCATGATATTTTGAACTTTTACTATGTCATTACACCGATAACAACACAAACAATTTCTTCACCGATGGGTCTTGGTTCTGATTCGGAACCCGTTTCCGTGAATATATCTGGTGAAAAAGTCTACATGGCAGACTCAATGCAATTCGCTTTGGAGTATTTTCTTCGATTGAAAAATAATCTTCTTGGAACATATTACATTTCGCCAAGTTTTCGCGACGAATCTCCAGATTCAACACATCTCAATCAATTTTATCATGTTGAATGTGAACTGTTAGGAGATATGGATGCAGCTATTGATGTTGCTGAAAAATATATTATTCATTTAGCACGAGAATTTCTCACAAAACATTCGTCGATGATTTCTCGAGTGGCTGGTGGTGTTTCTCACATAGAAAGTTTATTAAAAAGCTTTGAGAAAAATCAAAAATTTCCAAGAATAAAACTGGATGATGCTCTAAGTATGATGGATGGATCCGATAAATTTTACGAATCTATTGTGGAAGGCAAACCAAAATATGGCAAAAAATTAACAAGAAAAGGAGAAAAATATCTCATTGAACATTTTCATGGTCCTGTTTGGCTTACAGATATGAACCATTTAGGTGTTCCATTTTACCAAGCCTATGCAAATGGCGATAAAACAAAGGCAAAAGCAGCTGATCTTCTTCTCGGTTTAGGCGAAACATTGGGTTTGGGTGAAAGACATGAAATTGCTAAACAAGTTCAAGAAGCACTAGCTCATCATCAAGTTGATGAGAAAGCATATGATTGGTATATCAATATGAGAAGAGTTAAACCTTTATTGACAAGTGGATGGGGTATGGGTACTGAAAGATTTCTTTGTTGGCTTTTGCAACATGACGATGTACGAGATATGCATGTTATACCAAGATTGAATGGAATAACATTCTTACCATAAATTTCTATGAGTGTGAGAAAGAAAAGAAATTTTATGGAAATATGTTTAAAGTGTATATCTGGAAAGATAAATAAAAATAACCAAGATATTCCTTCATTTATTACATCGATAATTTCTGTACTTCTAGATAATTACTTAACATAAAAACTAGCTTCAAGACATCTACATATATATGATCTATTTACTGGATTGATAAAACAACTCAGTTCAATACTTCTTTGGTATGACACAAATGATTTTATTTAACAATTTTAGTTAGAAAATAGATGTGCAAACGTCGGAGTTTAATGTGAGCATTATGTATATTGGAAAAAGTGTTAAAAATCAACAAAACATACCGTTTTTGGACTTAAAGGTTTAAGAAATATGACTGTAGATGCGAAACTTGGCAACGGGATTCGTCAAAATTATGTAGAATCTACTCATTCTACAGAATTATATAGGATTTTGAGTGAGGGTATTGTGTCAGGCTGCGTTATTGTGTGTGTGTGAATGAGAGTGAATGTAGGTGGCTAGTCGCAAGATCGTAGGAAATACCTTAACTTTATGAAGAACGAGTAAATTAGTGGAAGTTGTCGCTTTGCACCGTCGCGATCACATCAACGCATTCTCAACGGTGAACGTGGATTTTTCATTTACAGTACATCCATACCCTGAAGATGAGAAGAAAAACAGCTCATATTGTAAAAGATGATGGAGATCTATACAGGTTATGATATCCCTGAGACCGAATTGTGCATTTTCTTATTTCTATTTATACGCGATAAATGTTGAAGAAAAACGCCCAATATAACACGAAGAGGTATTAGTGATTGAAAATATTTTTAGATTTTGACTATCTCACTATAGTTTATCGAACGGTATATGAATGAATGGAATCGAAGTGTATTACTTAAATAGTGTTCCTCGTTAATGAAATCATTTGACCTTAAGGTTGAGCCAGGGGATACAAAGTTTTGCAACGCCCTATTGAGTGAATCGACAACTTCAAGTCTAATGAAGTTGAGTTTGTGTCAGGGCTTAGAGAATCATTTAGTTTCTTTTCAATCTCATATTTAACCAAACAACTGAGTTGATCACCTGTGTTTAGTTGTCAATTACAGACTTTCTTCTATATTAGTGGAAAAATAGATTAGTAATATACATCATAATTTGTGAGATAGATTTGAAATACTTATACTCCATTATTGAGTTTGAGTGCATATCTAGCTTAGAGTATTATTTGTGCGCTGTCTTTCAGAAAGGTGATATCGTTAAACATATTTACTGCTTATTTTTTTTTCTTATCTGCTTCAATGTTCATGTATAATACTCTAATGATTCGTTTCATTATAGAAATTAATAACTGCTCATTAAAATGAAAACATACGTTGTGGTTCAATAAAAACTATCATTTGCTGTTGATTGGAGCACGGTACACTGTCCTCACCAATTTCGACTACTATTAATCACTTCACCACATGCATACGAGCATTGGGGTGCAAAACAAACCGAGTATTTTGAACGAATCTTCGTTGAAAATTGTATGGATTACGAAACGTTGCACAGAATCATGTTGACAATCATCAATGAGTATCAAGGAGACAAAATTTATGTTATAAATAACGAAGAAGTCAACCTTCTGAAGTGTGCTCGATTACGAAAATCGTTTGGGCTTGAAGGAGACACTGAGAAAGTTATCACGATTTTCCGTAATAAAGTATCGATGAAGAAGCGCTTAATTGAAAATGGTCTTGCACATGTTGTACCGAGATTCAAAGTATTCGACCCAGCTGAAGTCTCAGCAGACTATTCACAAAACTTAGTAAATACTGTGGGCTTGCCAATATTTTGCAAACCGACGGATGGATCAGGAGCAAAAAATGCATGTATTCTTAGCAATATCGAAGAAATTTCAAGCTGGATACAGAAAAACATGCATCAATCCTCCGGTGCTTTTGAATTTGATCAGTTTATTACTGGTGAAATGTATCATTGTGACTCAATTGTGAAAAACAATAAAATATTACATGTACAAGTTTTTCGTTATTTATATCCTTGTTTTGATTTTCACAAAGGACGACTATGTGCTAGTATTGTCGTTCTTCCGGAAAATCCCATGTACAAGAAGAGTCTTAGTTTTAATGAAATTATTTTCAATGGCTTACAATCGATTCCTGATGGTGTAACTCATCATGAGTTTTTCAAGACGGAAGACGATCGTTTCATGTTTGTTGAAATAGCTGCTCGGCCACCTGGTGTACTGATTTGTCCAGCGCATGAGCTCAATATAGGGCTTAATTTAAAACTAGTTCATTACAAACTGCAAATGGGACTTGATTTTGATTTGTTAATTCAACCAGGTTTTCACTCTGCTTGGGCTACATTTCCTAAAAAAACCGGAAAAGTCGTACGTTTGAATTATCCAAACCATCTGAGAAGTAATTTTCACTTTGAACATAGCAAGGATAATGCCACCGGTCCTCGTCATAATCTATGGCTTCCATCAAGTAACATCTTACTCTGGAATACGAATTATGAGATTCTTGAACAAGATCTTCAATCTCTCAAAAATTTTTCTCCTACTGAAACTATTGAAGACTGAAGATACCTTCATATCTATTATTCCAGAACTATTTTCCTGTACTTTCGATTCCATCCATGTTGTATAATTCCGCATGTTATGTCATTTGATATGGTGCTTTTTTTTATTTTTTATTTTTAAAATGCCTGTTGAAAATGTCTATAAGATCTGATTGAATTCAGAGGTAGACGCGATCATGATTTGTGAACTCTAAAGTGATTGTTTTGTTTGGATTTTATTGATATTTATTTAATGTATGAATTTTTACAAAAAAAAGAAGGTTATTCTGATGCGTCTAAAGTTATAGTGTATAGGAATGGATGAATTCTATTTTAGTTAATATGCCACGTGATGGCTTCTTTCGTATAAGAAACTGTTCGAGTATTGAATTGGTCGAGGGAAGAAAATAGATTTGAACCTTATTTACTAGAAAACCTAGATAGACATAGTGCTTTTGTCACCATTGATAGAAATTCTGAGAGAATTTCGTTAATAATCCGGTTTAAAATATACAGGATATTGTAAAAACTCTATACCTCTTGCTTTGACCTTAAGATCAAATCATTTAACTAAGTTTTTGTACCAAATTGAAACCCATAAATATTGCATATTATATTATTAAAAGATGTCACACTATACAACAAAATGTCAGATCCTATAATAATCGAATATATGAAAGAATTATCATACCGTTCACAGACTTAAATTGTAGCTTATAGAGTTGACAATTTATTGGAGATATAAATTGCTTAAAAGTTTTATGACAAAATTTGAGAACTTAATGTGACCTTCCTTGGTAGCCTCGAGAGCATGAAATATTTTCCTCATGGTAAACAGTAAATCAATACAAAGATCTGTATCATTTCCAAAATTCTTTAGTGTAATCTTGAGGTTAGTCTTGAGAACATCATAATTGTATTTATCTCGACAATCATCGCTTGGCATCAGTTCTTCAAACCTATCTTTGATACTTACACTAATGTTTTCTATAGGATTCATATCAGGCTGTTACCAGGTCGAATCTAATTGCTCAGAAAATCACACTTTCATCTTCCAGAAGATGCTATTTTGCTTTAGCTTTCATGCAGGGCGCCTCATCATGAAGAGATATGACTTCGCTTATGTCAAGAACATTGACTGAGCTGCGAAGAATAATTTCACGAAAATAGACGCATCCCAAGATTGTCCATCTTCCTTCAGGACTCAAAGAAACTTCTTTGCAGTAAATATGACAAAAATTTCAATGCATCTTGCATCGGATGTTATTGGAGTATATGGTTCGATTCTTGTTCAGATTTTGTGATTCTCGTTCGACAAGTCTTTTGTGCTTGTTGAAGCACATCTATTATATCTATGTTCTTTTGAAAACAACGTGCATAGATCATAAATAGACGAGATGATTCCATAGTTTAACTTCGTATTTCTCTTTTAATTTTACTCACTCTCATCCTCTCATCCTTACGTCGTATGATGCTTTGAATCTATTCTATGAAAACTCACAGTTTATTGGAATAGCTACGATATTGAATTCATTGACATTTCTATCGTTTAAAACATTCTCATGTTGTCTGACAATTTAGACTTTCATATAAATTATCACTCCTTCGAATTTATGTATTCTTTGCATAAGTATGTGTCATGTTAAAGATTCAGAACATGTTTCATTATGGCTGTCTAAGTAACAGTCGAAATGAGTCATATGTTATTTTGAATCTATTTTATAAAAACTCACCCGCATAGAAGGAAGAAAAAAAAATACTCAGCAAAGTATTGACTACCATACAGAGAGAAAATAGAACAGAACGAAGAAAAAAATACCCAGCAAAATATTGACTTTCATACTTGGGGAAAATAGAACAGAACGAAGAAAAAAATACCCAACAATGTGTTGACTATCATATTTGGAAAAATCCATCGACAAAAGATAAAGGAAGATTACCAAATAAATCGGCTATATCATACGTATATATATATAAGAAGCTACCCATTCTATCCAGATATTATTAATCGATATTTGCTGCAAAATAAAACACAAAATTCTTGTGTGCATTCATCGATTATTATTATTGCGTTTTCAATATAAACAACTATCAACAGATCAACTGTTGAAGTATCAGTATTATGACGTCCCATTCAACAGTAAGTTAAAAGAAACTAAAACTAACAAATTCTATTGTGATTTTGTACAACTTGAGAAAAAGACGACTATACGAAGGAAAAAATCAGACATTTACTTTTGTTTTATGATGACATGTGAGACGGATTTGTATTGAATTGAATAGAGATTAGTCTATTTTTCGATATTACAATTCTGTTTTTTTTTCATTGTGATTCGTATCGATCTCCTTCTTTACTGTTGTTTCTTTCAATCACAATATTCGCTAACATTTCATCGTGAACGTGTTATTATTGTTGAATTTATTCTTTATTCGTTACTTTCACGTGCTTTTTCTTATCTTTTCTCATTTATTGTTTTTTTCCTCTTCTTTCCTTCTCTTTCTCTTTTCTCTTGTTTCTATATTCTCTTCTTCTTTCTTGTTGAAGTAGAATTCGCCCACTATATTTCTTCTTTCGTTTATAAGAGATACACTGAGAGATTTGAATATAGTTGTTATCATCTAGATTTCATCTCGACTAAGACAAACCATTTAGATGCCATAAAGAAATTTGTCAGTTTTTCGAAAAAACTTATAGAGTCTATTATATAATTAAGACAAAATAATATAAACATTGGAAAAATCATGTTTGAAAGTACAAACAAATCAGTTTCGATTTTAAACTGAGAGAAAATCTATTTCTATTTAGGAAAATATCAACTTCTGTTCTTTTTGACGAACCTAATGAAATGATAGAAAAAAATCGTAGTGAGAAAATATTTGTAGATGTATGTAACTAACGAACCATGAGAGAAAAATAAACGATGTCTATAGTATACTGAGTATTAATGTGTATATCTCTCAGATTAAAATAAAAGGGAAAATCTTGTTATAGATGATATCAATGACAGGGAATTGTCAGTGTAAATCAATGAATTATACCACAATATGCAGCGTGAGGAGCTTTACAATTTTCATAAGATTGCTTATTTTATAGCTCTAGTTTTTGTCCCTCTTACAAATTCATTTTGCGCTTCCAAAATGGATAAAAGATCATAAGATAAACCGAAAAAGCAACTTCGTTACGGATAAAAAAAATCAGCTTTTCACAGTAATGAAATTTAGTAGCTTCGATTTCGGTTGCTTTTTGAAAACAAAAATGTCTTTAATCGAAATCAAAGATGATCTCGTTGCAAAAATAGTTTCCTTCAAAACCGCTTTTGTTTTCAATGTACAATTGTAAAAAAAGCTGTTTTGATAGATTATAGAGTTTTTCATAATAGAACGCATTAAATGGTGAACTCTGTGTAGGGGAGGGAAGTTACCGTTACGTTACCAAGTAACTAGTAACGCAGGAGTTACTAGTTACCGGGTAACGGTAACTCTGCGTTACTCGGTAACGGTAACTGGTAACTTCACATCTCTTCCATCCTCACGCAAAGGTTGTGTTTCCCAAATTTTGAGGTCCTATAAATTGGAATATATCGGGAGCCTTAGGTCCTCAAGTCCTATATTATGGGGGTACCCTTAGGTCCTCAAGTCCTATATTATGGGAGTACCCTTAGGTTCTCAGGTCCTATATTATGGGGGTACCCTTGGGTTCTCAAGTCCTATATTATGGGGTACCCTTAGGTCCTCAAGTCCTATATTATGGGGGTACCCTTAGGTCCTCAAGTCCTATATTATAGGGGTACCCTTAGGTCCTCAAGTCCTATATTATGGGGGTACCCTTAAGTCCCCAAGTCCTATATTATGGGAGTACCCTTAGGTCCTCAAGTCCTATATTATGGGGGTACCCTTAGGTCCTCAAGTCCTATATTATGGGGGTACCCTTAGGTCCTCAAGTCCTATATTATGGGGGCACCCTTAGGTCCTCAAGTCCTATATTATAGGGGTACCCTTAGGTCCTCAAGTCCTATATTATGGGAGTACCCTTAGGTCCTCAAGTCCTATATTATGGGAGTACCCTTAGGTTCTCAAGTCCTATATTGTGGGGGTACCCTTGGGTCCTCAAGTCGTATATTAGGGGGGTACCCTTAGGTCTTCATGTCGTATATTATGGGAGAACTTTCAGGTCCTTAAGTACTATACTATAAGGGTAGGGGAGGAAGTTATGGTTACGTTACCAGGTAACTAGTAACTCGAAAGTTACTAGTTACCGAGTGTGCGAAGAAAATAGACGGACATCCTTTCGAACGACACTCCTTTTATCCATTTCAGTACTACGTGATCTTTTCTCCCCTACTTCCTGTTTCCTTTCCTCTCGGTATACATTCTTTCTCCGTGGATTTTTCTCGGTATTTCTCTCTCTTTCTCCCTCTCTTTCTCTCTCCTTTTTCCTTTTTTCTCTATGAGATATTCTGATATAGTTGAGTCGATAGTTGTATTCAGTTAGGGTAAGACGTACTGGAAACTATTGAAACGTACGTTCTTAGAAGTTGTTCTGAATTGGGACTCGAAAACGGAATAGAGTCCGAATCTGTATTACATATAAAGAAGTTATATGTATACGACCTGAATGTAGTGTGTATTGTTTGCTGTGTGAATTCAATGCATTTGTTGTTACTTATTTTTCTTCTTACCATTATTCAATAAACCATTACGTTTCGGTGCTGTCCGAGCGGTTTACCTCAATTCTCTTCTCACGACTTATATTCATCAATTAGAAATATTTTCCGTTACACCGAGTAACTAGTAACGCTGGAGTTACCAGGTAACTAGTAACTTCGGAGTTACGAGTTACTTTTGGTAGGTAACTTGTCTAAAAATTCGAGATATCGCTTCCTAATGAGTGAATACCATCATTACACTACTTATTCAGCTCACGAGTTACCGAGTAACTGGTAACGCACATAGGAGTTACTAGTTACCAAGTAACTCGTAGTTTAATTGAGTGATGAATAGATGATATCCAGTCATTAGGAAGCGATATATTAACTTTGTAGACAAGTTACCTACCAAAAGTAACTAGTAAGTCCGAAGTTACTGGTTACCTGGTAACTGGTTACTCCGGCGTTACTAGTTACTCGGTAACTAGTACCTTTCGAGTTACTAGTTACTTGGTAACGTAGCGGTAACTTTCCACCCCTAAAAAATATACGGAAGACCAAAGAAATAAATTTAGATGTCAAAATATCTATCATTTTTAGTCAGGTGGTACTTTTAACAGAAGCATTCGTTTTGTAAACAAGGGATAATTGTTTTCATAAGATATGGTAAGATTTTCCATAGAAATTGTGAAAAATGTTGATAGAAAGCGAACCTTATGCATCACTGTTCCACTGTTGCATGAAAAAACTGGAAAAATGAATCTGTTACTATGTTTCAAGATTTCGATAATTTATATTCACCAAGATATATATATACGTATAAGGATCTGACTATCTTTTGAATCTTTCTAAACTTCGATGCTCAAATACAAATTAGGAGAATATCTGATGTCACGTATAGTAAGGATGATGTGTATTCTTATCTTTGTAAAAGGTCTTGGTATTGATTCCAAGAATTTATGTCTTTTGTTAAGACAAGCATACGCATTTTCTCTGTTGCAAGCTTTAAATTATGTCAATTCATAAGTAACGAACATGCAAAATTTGCATTGGGTGATGAATTACCTAATAAAATAAATATCTGATTTTTCATACTTTGTATTTACAACTTTCGTCTAACAATATTTACAAAAAATCTTTTATCAATCGTTTTCAACAAGTGTGCGACTTTGTCTTTTCCCACATTTGCACGTCAATTAATATACTCAAAAAGATACATTAACTATATCAGAATGAACCGCGTATCATATAAATTTTATGTAAAAAATATTCGTTTACTCGTGTGTCAGTAGCAACATAAATTATAAAAAATGAGTCAAATATGTGGTTAAAGCGTTCTTGATTACATACATTTGAAAATAGTTCTGGGTGAAAGATTATGCAATTTATCATCAACTTTTATGATCGAAATGACTAAATTTTTCAAGCAATTCAACGCATGACACTGATGACGTGATTTTACAGTTTCAGTCTCCTTACTCCATAATTATGAAACCCCTGTCAACTGATAATGTGATTAGGGGTGGGAAGTTATCGTTACCTGGTAGTTACATTACTGGGTAACTAATAACTCAAAAATTACCAGTTACCGAGTAACTAGTAACGCTGGAGTTACCAGTTACCTGGTAACTAGTAACTTCCGAGATACTAGTTACTTTTGGTAGGTAACTTGTCTAAAAAGTCCAGATATCGCTTCCTAATGACTGAATATCATCTATTCATGCCTCAATTAAATTACGAGTTACTCGGTAACTAGTAACTGTGACAGTCCCGGTTGAGCTTGTCATGTATTATCATTACATAATGTCACTGTTGTTTGGGTTGATTGTCTCTATAGACTGTTCTAACATTATTATAACATCAGTCGTTACGTCATACGTTATATAAGGATATGTATCACTCATCGTGTTCAATCTAACCTGATACGTTATATAAGGGTTACATCACTGAGTCTATTGTATGCTTCTGCTCTTATTTGTTTATGCTCAATGATTGTTCTCTTTCTTTTCTTATTATGGGATATTTTCTCCTTTTCTCTCCCGCTCACTATATAAAGAGTGGACGAGGAGGAAGAGGGGACATTTCTCTTGAATAATAAACTCGAGAAGTGTTACAGTAACTTCTATGTGCGTTACAAGTTACTCGGTAATTCGTGAGCTGAATAAGTAGTGTAATGATGGTATTCACTCATTAGGAAGCGATATCTCGGCTTTTTAAACAAGTTACCTACCAAAAGTAACTAGTAACTCCGAAGATACTAGTTACCTGGTAACTGGTAACTCCAGCGTTACTAGTTACTTGGTAACTAGTAACTTTCGAGTTACTAGTTACTTGGTAACGTAACGGTAACTTCTCACCCCTAGGGTACCCTCATATAATAGGACATGAGGGCCTAAGAGCACCGCCATAATAAGTACTTAAAGACCCGAAGGGGCCCCCATCATATAGGATATGAGGACCTAAGGGTACCCCCATAATATAGGGCATGAGGACCTAAGCGTACCCCTATAATATAGGACTTGAGGACCCAAGGATACCCCGATAATATAGGACTTAAGGACTTAAGGGTGCCCCCATAATATAGGACATGAGGACCTAAGGATACCCCAATAATATAGGACTTAAGGACTTAAGGGTACCCCCATAATATAGGACATGAGGACCTAAGGGTACCCCTATAATATAGGACTTGAGGACCCAAGGGTACCCCCATAATATAGGATATGAGGACCTAAGGGTACCCCCATAATATAGGACATGAGGACCTAAGGGTACCCCTATAATATAGGACTTGAGGATCCAAGGGTATCCTCATATAATAGGACATGAGAACCTAAGGGTACCCCCATAATATAGGACATGAGGACCTAAGGGTACTCCCATAATATAGGACTTGAGAATCCAAGGGTACCCCTATAGGACCTCAAAATTTGGGAAACACAACCTTTGCGTGAGGATGGAAGAGATTTGGAGTTACCCGTTACCGTTACCCGGTAACTAGTAACGCAAAAGTTACTAGTTACCGAGTAACTAGTAACGCTGGAGTTACCAGTTACCCGGTAACAAGTAACGCAAAAGTTACTAGTTACCTGGTAACGTAACGCATCGGTAACGGTAACTTCCCTCCCCTAACTCTGTGATATTCATTTGGTTAATTTAACTTGAATATTTTGAGGAGTTTACAACATTAGCAATAAGTTGAATCATATCAAAATCTGTTTCAAAATCTTCTAGATAATAAACATTTCGAAAAGATTATCTGGTTTATTTCAACTTCGTCAAAACTTTGGTCGCTTGTTTTCAATGGCTAATCCAACATTACAAAAAATGAACGATACATATAAGAAAGAATTTATGTTAAGTGAAGATGAAGTACATGTGTCATATTTACATCCATATCCAGTGACACCTGCAACAACAATTATCGAGTCGAAAAATGAAAAAGTAAAATGCATCTTTAAACTACCAATCGATGAATACAAGCAACTTCTATTTCGTGCAAAAAGAACTGCAGAATTATTGTGTAAGAATATTCCAGTGAATCGTTGTGCCTTAGTGACTAAACCAGTCAAATGTGGTCCATCACAAATTAAAATAATTCCATTGCACGGTGTTAACTCTGAATGGGAACAAGCCATATCACCAGAACCTGAATATAATGAAGAATATCCTGGTTATTGTAATTCAAAAAACGGACCACGAGTTTCGGAAGAATCTTTAACAAACATTCAAGATAAAGTTAGAAGTAAACTGGAAACAACTTCGATCAGTTATGAATTTTTTGGAGATGCGGACGACAAGAACTTATTTTCAAGAATTGTTCGAGGTGAAGAAAAACAATGGCGCGTTTGGGAAGACTCTGAACATGTGGCTTTTCTAACACCGTTTCCAAATAGTCCAGAATTTACTGTAGTTATTCCTCGTAAGCATCTATCAAGCGATATATTTAGTCTTGAAGAAAAGGATTACGAAAAACTAATTGAAGCTGCCTACAAAGTTTCAACATTGCTTAAATCGTCGCTTTCAATTGACTTCACCTGTATGATATTTGAAGGTTTTGAAATAGATTATGCCCATGCCAAATTGATACCTGTTATAACCAAAAATGATTATAGTGAAAAATCCAATATTAATTTACCAACAGAATTTCATCCCAAATACATTGGATACGTCACATCATTAGATGGTCCTTTAGTTCCAAAAGAAGAGATGCAAAAAGTTTTCCAGCAATTAAAACGTAAATGAATAAGCTAAATTAAGTTTATTTATCAAATAAAATTAAACATCAAAATATTTGATAAGTATATTTTCTTTGTTTTATTTGAAAAGAACATTAATAAAATCAAGAATTATATTGATAACTTCTTTTGAAATTTAAGAAAACAGATGAAAGAAAATTTTATATTCTTTGAACGGAAAGCCATAGTGATCTGCGGTTTTCATCATTCAATAGAGGATAGTCGAGGTACATGTCGATATGGATGAAAATAGTTTCCAAAGATAGGCTTTCAGATCAGTTTTAGTGAACGAAATCAAAGGGGAATGAACAAAAGTTTTGGGGAAAAAGTTTTTCACTAGAGTTGTACCTCGACATGTCTTCTTCACATTGACATCTAAGTGGTTTCGAGAATTTCATTTGTTCGAAGTACTAGAAAACATAAAAGATAGTTTTGGCTAAACAGCGAAAATATATTCAAAATATAGGTTTTTGGCTATGCTAGTGAACATACCAGGGCTTATTCTACCTATAATCTAGGACTTCAAATATTTGGTCTCTCTACGCATGAGCATGTCAATGTGTAATGCGAAGATAGAAAAAGAAAAGGTATACCTATATATGTGACAATGCTCTTGAATATTTTTCCTTTTCGTTTTTGAAATGGTACACACTATCTATTTTGAATAACCATCTTGACAGTTAGTTATCTCCAATGACATATATTTCAAAATTTATATAATCCAAATTTTTGATTTTAAGAAATTTTTAAAGTTATGTTACCTCAAAATGATTAAAATAAAGAGCATGCAAAAAAATATTTATTTGTCTTGCAAATGAAATTTTTTGAATAAAAAGTAGCCAATTTTGTCCACAGTATCATTTGAAAAGGTTTTTATTTCAAACTCATCGATTATAATCCTCTTTCGTTTAAACAATGGACAGTCGAGTGTCAGCGATTCGTATTCACCATCTTCACCACATACGCTGGCACCGTATTTTTCCAACTCAATTAAGGACGGACGTACTTCTGCAAGTGTCTTCCCAAGATGTTCTTCTGGATTTAGACCACGACATGCAACTTTTATTAGAATTGCTTCCAGATGAGACGAGACCATGTCATTTAGTATTTCAGATTGGTTACGTTGCCATAAGTATACTAATGGTTTTATGTTTAATCGTTCACATATACTATCGACATGATTTTTATGATACATATCAAATCGTTCAATGACACCACAGGAAAGACCATCAATGACATAACCATTCTTTTTCTCTAAATCTTGTTTGATATCTTTTAAAATTTCATATAAATCATCAATTTGATTTATCTCAGCATGGGGTTCTGCAGCTGAACTCATATTTATTGGTTTAATTGTTATCGAACGGATATACAAAGGTAGTTCCATGGCTTCGGCATATAAGTCGAGCATTCGATTACCGATCGATTGATACATGTACGATTCTAGTTCTGGAATTTCCTCATTTTTCATTTGGATTGTAACACTTTCTAGTTGCTTCGGCTTTAAACATAATAATGCTACTATTTCATGATCATTTTTTACACATTCCATCATGTTAAATGTTCCATCTTTGCCACCACTTATTAATGCTATTACTTTCATCTTGTATTCTTAATCTATAACAGGATGCAACAGCTTATTAGATCTATGTTGAGCCATGTCAGTTTAAATCCTTTTGCCCCAAAAGAGAAAAATGCTAAAGTTCTTCATACAGTATTTTCAAATGATTCATGAAGGAAATGCGTTTAACTTTATAGCTACCTTATATGATTATTTCGATTTCAACTTTCACAATGAATATAGATCATATCAAATGGATATTGTAATTTAAAGTTTATACAGAATGTTGTGAATGAGCATTTTCAAAGTGAATTAGAAATAGTATGATGTCCACTCTATATTAATACTGATGCTTTCTTTTCTGTTAAACATAACATAGAAACTCTCTTCATGCTTACTCCGCTGTGCTATTCACTGATATGCAAAACTTGTCTTCCACTATCATCTATGGAGAATCAGTTTAGAAAAGAAGAAAACTTCCTCAAAAATATCAACAAATACTAGAGAATTAAACCTATCTCATTAGAAATTAAAGTGGAAGTTCTTCTGAGAAAGCAAGTTTGTCTAGGCTAGAATAAATTATACTGAAAATATCTCCTAGAAAGCAAAAAATAATACTAATTCCTTCTCTATTGAGTCGTTGTGAAGAAAGGTGTTTTCATGTCAGTGATATACTCGAAAAAAGCTTTAGAAATCGATGTTTTCGAGATATGTGCGAATTGTATATGTTAGTGCTTTGGAAAGGCTATAGATATGTCATCTTTATGTTAGGTATTAGTTGGCTCTTAATGATTGATATAAGGTAGCTATAAAGTTAAACGCATTTCCTTCATGAATCATTTGAAAATACTGTATGAAGAACTTTAGCATT